GTGAATAAACTTCCCCTCCTCAACCAAGGTGATCAAGGTATAACAGCATTTTTACTATCATCTGTGCTTGAATGAATTTCAATTATCACTTGATTTCTTGGAGTAAACGTCCATAACGTTTAATTGAGTAGATGTTGTCTCTGTGAATGTTGATTTTGCTGCAACAAAGAGTTTGTATTTCTTCCGAATGGTCTTTGAAGCTTGTACGGTACTTGAAAAATTTATTCCTTTGATGACCATAATATGTTTAAATTTATACTACTGTCTTCTGTTCATTCTGTTGATATGGATTATCGCAGTAATTCATTTATTACTTTAAAAAAGATGCCTTCAAGTCTGCAAACATACTAGCGGTTACGACTGCTACTAGTTGAAAACTACATTTTAAAGACGTGTATAGAAGTTTATGAAAAGCATTAAGTACATTTTCTTTACTTTATTTTCATTAGATTTACAAATAAAATCTTATCATAAGTTAAACAGATTTATATCCCAGGGTTCACGTTCATCAATTCTGCTGTCTTCTCTCATCATCCAGTTATGAAAACGTTTTTTTATAGGTGCGCTTAGTTTTTTCAAGAATGTCCAAAAACATTTTTTATTTTACACCAATAACTTAAGAAAATCCCTTAAATACTATGACGAGGCCACATATGGACTAGTTAAGGGCTTAAATAAGGTTGAATGTTTTCTTTTAGTCAAAAACTTCAATTAAAGTACACCTAGATTCAGTAGAAGTCACATTTCAGTGTCTGTTTTTTATTTTAGTGGGACATTTTGTAGCATTTAAGAATAGCTAAAATAGATACTTTAGAGGATCGCGCTAAATCGCAAAATGACAGAAGTAAAAAAATGTGGACTACTGGATATTGGCTCAGTGATGGCGTGTTCCCAGTGGAACTTGGTTTTGGGTTTGACCCTAGGTAGGGCTTAGGTACCCGTTACTGAGGAATCCCGTCCCCATTGCCCAGTGTTCGCAGGTTACCGATTTTTTCTTCTTCCTAGTACCAGTTTGTGATGAATGCCAACTTGAGGTGTTGTTTGTTTTAAATGCCAGCGATGAACCGCATAAAGTTGGTCTCTGAAAATCTAATTGACCATAAATATGTCAGTTTCCGGAAGATACGATTTTAGGTCCTTTGTTATGAATCACCAACTTCACATTGGTAAAACTGAACATGCTTAATTATTTTGCCTTTCCAATCAAAGATTAGCAGTTTAACTACACATTGTGATTTTATCTGTACTGTTGCACATATTTAAACACTGACAAACACTTTCACAGTTATCCAGCCGAAAAATTAGATCCAATAAAATAGAATGCAGAAGAAATTTGTGGTCAAAATAAGTTGATAGTCTGCAAGCTGACTTAGAAGTCCAATACTTGAAACAGGAAAAAAAGACGTAGTATAACTGTAGCTTATTTTTAAAAAAACAATTCATGCTTTCTTATTTCCTGTATCTTGTTACCTTAATATAATCTAAAAGCACAAGGAAAACCTGAAATTTACTTTGTTAGAAATTCGCTACACCGCTTTTTTCACTATTGTACACACAATCAACCTTAAAGGTTATGGTAAATTAAAAATTACTAGAATTAACTGACAAGTTATCTCTCTTCATAAATTTGAGGAACTCGAAAGAACTTTGTGTATAACTGAAGCTTTCTGGGCGAAACTCCATGAAACCGTTGATTTGTCCTAATGAATCTAACGTCGGTTAGTAATACCACTGAGTAGGTAGATCGCATTTATCCATGAAAGAACATAATTAAATAACATAACATTAAACAGCAGAGAAAAGAAACAGTTGTTAGAAGAAATGAGGTATTTAAGCTTTTCCTTCAACTGGTATTTCTCTCAATGCATTGATAAGTAACTTGGGCCGGCAGACCAGATATGTTTTTAGATTTAGAGATAATCTTTGTCACAAATTAATGTGCAGTGAACAAAAAATGATTATTGCAGGGCTGCCTAGTCATATTATTTCGTTTCCTTATATAGTCATGTATGTAGAGTGTCAAAAATATCCTAATATCAAACGAGTTCACCGGATTCGCGAATGAAAGAAACCTTAACACTAATCTAAGATAAAAGTAACACGCCAATATGTTCAGTGATCATGTCGCATCTAAAAGTGCATTTTTAGAAATTATAACCGGCGTTCAGAAAGGAGTAACTCATTAAGATTTCTCGACAGTTTTTTCGACTAATATGTGAAAGCACACAATCAATAATTCTCGTAGTATTTCTTGTTTCTGAGTTTAATGAAGTTAAAATATATCCTGTATAGACATATAGTAATTATAAGGTGGTATACAATTTGTTACCAGGATAAGTAACATAATTAGTTTTCAATTTATATTGAAATGAATGAATAATAAAGGAAGTAATGACGATGCTACCTAGTCTCGTGGTAAAGCTGAGAAAAAAATGAGCCTTTTTCATTGTTTTCCTCAGCTGCAAATATTTTTGGGTAGATTTGGTTGCAAAGGTCAAAAGCGGCTGGCATGAAAAATCTGACCACTGTATTCAACTTAAGTTAGAATGCATCATTCATGAGTTCAAACACAGTGTGATTACAGCTCTTTTAAAATACAGAGAATTTGCTCTCAGGTTTCCAACAAAATAAATCAATTCAGGAAGCGCTAATTTTATTTCCTTAAACACTGTATTGCTTGAAGAATTAATTTTGAAACCTTTATGAAATTGATACACTTCTACCAAACAAGAAAAGAAAAGGCCAATAAGATAAGGTTTCCATTGAAAACTATCCTTCTGTTTCAATCAGAAAATTTTTATTTATGACTCAAAGGTAATTTATTCTTTCATTTAAATAAAGTAATTTAATTTCTCCCATGAAAGAACAGTTTAAAATCGGTACTAGCTGTCATTTCTGATCAGTTTGTCCGGTTATGCCTTAGTTTACGTAGTCAACAGGAAATGCTTCTGTGCCAAACAGAATGATTAATTCTTCGCAAATATTTCATATGTGTATACGTCGACTTTGAAAAATAAAAAAGATCTTGCATATGAACGGATTAGCATGGCAGTATAAGTTGCGTAACAAAGCGCCAAAATTTTCTAAACAAAATAATACCATTCCATAGTAATGATCCTTGGCGTATAGAGATAAGGCTGAAAAATCAAATTTGATAATTAATGCGTTGACACTGTGTTAATTTTCTTAAGGTCGAGTATTGTACATTTCACCTTTGAAATAACAAAATCGGGGATGTTGATCGTGAGGCTTGATATATTTGTATATGAAAAATAATTTTCGTCTATTAATGGAGTATTATGTCGTACTAATAATCTTCATTATTGGTTGGTTAGATCAAAATGTACTATGGTATTAAGCGAAAGGATTTTTCATAAGGGTTATACCATTATCAGTTAAGCGTCGCATTTGGTCGTTTCATGAACCCCTCGGGTTTTTCTCTTCCCTCCCCCCACATTCTGGTACAGAAGATCGTCTTTTGCTGCTATCGGCAAATTACAGTCCATTTCCATTACTGCACAACCTGATATAGTGATTATGTTGCAAGTAAGTGTTTACAGGTGATATACCAAAAATTATAACGTCTGTTGATATTTTCATTATACCTAATACATGCCGATGGAAGTTACACTGAACTTCAGTAGACACAAGAATTCCTTCTTTTTACACTGATGATTGTTTACACAGACTTTGAGAAAACGTTTTATTGGAGATTTCATGAAACTTGGTAAGTTTGTAATCTTAATGGATTCCACTCGGCTTAAGCGATAATCTGCTAGTATACCTGACCGTATCATCAAGTCAGTCGGCTTTATGAAGTGAAGTACAACTAGTGCATACTGCTATCATTTGTAAAGTGTATTTCTAATCGGAAACTGTGCTCCTTAACCTTGACTGAAATAAGTATGTAAACTATATTTCGGAGTGTATCAACATTAGCTGACTCAAGGGAATTGGTAGAAAGCTCTATTTGACTTAGGTTTCGTGCTCATTGGGACTCATTAACACGGTATATCTGAAACCTTGAAGGAACTAATATCCCACCTCAGATTTTAACCCACCTGACCTAGTGCTTCAGTCTATGTTGTCAGTGCGCTATTTAGGTGGTGAACGACCTCCTATATGACTGAATTAGACACAATGATGGACTACTTTTCAATGACTTATCAATGTATCACCTTGAAGATTATCTTTTTTTCTGTGACAAATATGCCCCTTCATGCAACCTACTTTTGCACCATATCTTAATAGATACAAAGTTTATGAAACAAAGAAGATCCGGTTCTTGAAATACCTGTAGTATAAAAGCAGGCAAAAACAGTTGTACTTTTGAAACAGTTAGGACCAATGTGATGCATCAGAGCTTTCTTATATTTAAATCAAATCAACAGTAATAGAAATATGTTTTTAAAGTACCTTGATTTCAGTGTTGCACTGCAAAATTAAAAAGAAATTTTAACAAGTTTTCTGATTTAAAATTCAAGGTAAATAGGAAAATCACATGAATGGAAGATTAACGTATATTAAGAGCTAACTACAACTATTTAATGGTAATGTTTGGCTTTATAGGCATTATCTTCCATGATTTCTATTGTGATAGGAAACAACATCTGAAGTTTACTGGAGATATCACTCTTCCAGTAACCATATTTAATCAATATATGCTATTAAGAACGTGAACTAATGTGCTAATGCTATACTCTTTCTAGTTATACCATTTAATTTCCGCATCAAATAGATATCAAATGGAAACAGAAACCAAATTGAAAATATTTTCGATCTCTTCTCACAGGAAATGTGACCTAACATGCTTGTCTTTTAAATGATTTCAAAAATATCATTCCTACTTTATTTAATCATTGAAATTGTGTATTCCCAAAAAATTGACTTGACCTTCTTATTTTTAGTTCAATCTAATGTAAAACAACTGCTTTTACAAGCATATCATTGCATTATACAAGCCATAATGTATTCCTTTTTCTCTTAAATCCAATTAACAGAGATGGACTGATTATCATTTGGTGTGGAACCCAGAGGAATATGAAAATATTACACATCTTAACATTCCAACCGATAAAATTTGGCTTCCAGATATCGCGCTGTATAATTAGTAAGTATTTTAAAAAAAATAAAAATCTTAATTTATCGTAAATGGCACAGAATGATATGCTATCACGATTGCAGACACTTTGTACATATGAAATAAACTGTTATGACAGTTGTGTAGATAAAGGTCATACCAACAACAAATTCACTGATTCCTTCAATTTTCATTTAAGTTTAGGAACAAATGAATTCTGGCATATTCAAATACTGTAACTATGAATCACCTCTGTAACTTAAATATAACGCCAAAAATGATGCTCAAGAATGAAAATTTTTGTAAAACTTTATATTGAAATGTTAGTGTCTGAAGAAGATTTCGTCAGTCAGCTGATATTGCTCATATAACAGCGATTTTCCATTTGCGTCACGGCTGGTGAAATCCAGGACTTTTGAAGACTCACCTGGCGGTAGTTCTGAAAAGCTGGAATAAAAAGCGTAATTCTGAATGACAGAATTAATTTGATAGAGTATTACTTCCCACTGACAAGTTTTGGACTAAGAAGTAAAACAGTACACAATAATTTCTGCTTTATATTATGCAAATGAATAGAAACAGCTTATGTGATAGCATGCATCACAACGGTTTATGTACACTATGGCAATATATAAAGAAATGAAAGCCTTTTCAGGTTAGGGTTCATGAAGGAATGACATCAGGTGAAGAACCATTAGAAACCTAGGAGCACTAGACAGACGTTTTGTCCTAGTATGCGCTTCCTTAGAAGTGTGCCTTTATGACCCTCCCGTGGCCTGAACCCAGGGCCATCAGTTTTCGCGACTAGTTTAGTCATTGGTGAGCATTGTGGAAGATTAGCATTCCGGGAAAGAAATATCTGTTCAGTGATTCCAGGTATCCAGTGGTCCTCCAACTGGTATAAGTTCATGAGGAATACCAACTTAAGATCAATAAAATCCTCAAAAATGTAAAAAAGATTTTCTCCCTTAGTTAAATGGAGTTTAGATTTGGGATATTCTCGAAATATTTTCACCGCAAATACCCACATAACAATCCTACTTGTTTCAAAGTTCAGGTATATTTTTTGGGTCTAAACTATCCCATGTTTGTGTATTTCTGTACAACATCTAGTGTTCTTCACATTCCTTTCAACTTCCTGTTTTGCGTAGTATTTTCAAAGGTTTTGTAATGCATAAGTATATGACTTTTATTTTGATCAAACTCATAACGCTAACCAACTTCAAAATTGATAGCAGCTAACTGTAATTTAATGAAGCGACTGCCATGTAGAGTCTTTTTCCTTCAACAAATATGAATATTCCTTTAGAGATCGATCTTGCACATGTGACTTGTTTGAGGATTTCCTACACTTTGATAGACAAACTTAAACTGAGTAAAACTTATATGTGGATAAAACTTTCTTACTGTATAGTTGTAATGGAACGGGATTTAAATAAAACTGAGTTGGGAGTTTCATTTAGAGAACCAAAGTTTAGATAATAGCATTTAAAAATATGATGAAAATTTCTAGTGAACGTGAATTCTTGTTAGAGCCTCGACAAAATCCACTTCTGGATCCAAAAATGCACACTGAAAAGAAAGATCCTTCAGGTTTCCTGGTTCACACTTCCTGGTGCATGATTTTATCAACTATATTTATTAAACCATTGCATTCATCTTTCCTCTAAATCTATTAACTTCTCAAAATTTCTGAAAATACGTTTTACGCAACATGTATACATAAGCAATGGCCGATAATAATGACATTTTTGTCACTATTTGAACTCTTTAATCACTCCTAGTGCGTATATTTTGCAGTGTAAGATATTATATTGAAAGACAAAGTTTATTGAGACTCTGAGAAGAATTCATATTCGTCCTGTACGTGATGCCAGATGCGGTTTACGTTTGTTAAACAAATACATTGTCACTATGTGATGACTGAAGGTGAAATGTAAATTTGGACTGCGGTCAGATCTGAACTAGCGACCACCGTGTTTCCGGCCCAATGTTCTACTAACTGAGTTACAATGGCTCGGTGACAGCTGGTTCGAATTTCGCATTGGTCTAAATTGTCATTTAACTTCCAATCATCACACAGTATCAATAATAGTCTGCCAAACCACGGCTATCTCAGGTAGTCAAAATGAAAATACATTGTCACGGCATGTTATTCTCCATCTTTCAGCTTAGCAATATTTTCTAAATTAAACAAAAAAATTTAAGGTCTGGTATAAACATGTTAGAAATAAATAATTGCTTACCGACCCTATAGTCATTTTTCCCCTAAACGTTAGTCAATCGTCGACTGTCCACTCACATAAATGTTCAGTTTTCTGAATCTTAAATTTATACTGCTTGAATGAATCATCAACTCATTTCGTAAAAGAATGAGAAATAATATTGTCTGGAGAACTCATATAATGAAGTTATGTTGTATCCTAATCCACAATGAGAGCTGCTTTTAACCGTTTCTAACAGTAACCTTCTGTCTATCTTATAAGACATATTTTTACTTGTGTAATTCCAGCATAGTATAACAGAACAAAAAACAAAATAAACAATTGTCTTTTTTCGATCTTGCAAGGAAGATCCTTTTCAAGTTTTCAGGTTAATTTTCAATCTTTGGCTCACAATGTAACCTTTAAAACGTGATATGAAAAAAAAGTCAGTGCAATGCAGGTGAGTAAATTAGCGGATCAGTCTTAGAGGCTGTTTTCAGTTGTGCAGGCAAGGTGGAGCAAAAATATGATGAAGAAATTTAGTTCGAGTATCAAGAGTACAATGGGTTGTGATTCATCATGGGTGAGAAAAAAAAGATAACAGTTCTGGAAAGATGAATAATTTATCATTGAACAAAATATAATAAATAATGATAATAATAGTGATAACGACAAAGGTACTGTTGATAGCAGTTGAAGTATGAATGATAACAAAATGGATATTGTAATAAATAGAATGGTTCATAGAATGTATAAAAACTCAGAAAGGTTCGTAAAGTTCATGGAATTAGTAGACCAAAAAAGTGTTATGTAATAGGATTAGAAAGGTTAAAATACAACCAATACTTTTTGAATTCATTAGGACGATTAAGTGAAACAACACCGGAAACTATTCAAACAAGAATAAATTCGGGATAAACCGTGTCTTATACGATGAAATGAAACTGTGTCCTACTTTCTCTTCATATGTTATTTACAACTGTCTATGCGAGTGATTATTATTTCCTATATTTGTGGAATGTCTAACGCATCTTTTCTGTTGGACAAAGAAGGATACGAACAGATATGCTTAGCTTCTGCAATGACCTGCTCTCTGTGAGAAGGAAAAGCGTTTAGCAAAACGTTTGTCCTTTTGTATGGTATTTTATAACCCTAATATGAGGCATGAGACACAATGCGGAGCTTTTTTCAATTTTTCCCTGATGATAGGAATTTGAGGAATAGTATAAAATATTTGTTTGTTTTGCTGTTTATTTTAATATAGTATGCGGGGCAACACAAGTAAAACTATATCTTTCACGATGAATCAAACTAACTTGGTGCCCAAGTTTTTTTCAAACCACCCAGTCCATCGCTAGTCAGAATATGTTTAAACTTGTAAATTTTGAATTCAACCACGTGAAGAGAATGAAAATGCTATTTATTTATCTAATCTAAGTAGCCTTTCACTATACAGTGGTCTTCTGTGCCAATAACTGTTCATTGTGCAATTCTAATCCCAAACTTGCTTATTCTATGCTGACCTATTTCTCTAGTTTCATCGGCATGTATAGAAAGTACATAACGAGGCGTAGGAGCAAAGAAATTCGATATAAGCACTGCTCTATATACTGCCCATGTTCAGATTAAATTCAGTTTTTTCCTACAAAGATACACTGAACCGATTAATGATGTGTAAATTCTATTAAAAAAAACTGAATGAAAGTAGGCGGAATAGGTGTTAGACAGAAAGAGATGAGAAAACTAGTTCCTTCTGCTAATGTTGTATACATTTAGATAATAAGAAATGAACTGATTATCTTTACAGTAAAAAAAAAAGCTACCCTGAGGATATTCAATTCCTCTGAGTATTTCAGACCATCTTTTTTCTACATCTTTTTATCATACTGTGACCTAGTGATAATAAGAGGTTTATATTACCTCCTTTTTTGTATGGCTAATTGACTAAATAATCAGCTACCAAATATATCTACACATCTGTCTATCTACTTTCATTAGCTTACTTTACCTAAATCTTGTACACAGTTATTCGCCAACAAGGCGAGAGGTGAATGACTGAAACAGCAAGTCGCTGTGAAGAAAAGGTGGTAGCAGCAGGTGACCAGCAGGAAGTTTCATTAGAAATGAACAACCAATGCACAATATGAAACAAGTAATCAAGGAAAAAAGCATCGAAATATAAAAATAGTCTACTCTATCGAATTCCTCTTACAAGTAATTTCACATACTCGAAGATACATTTTTTCTTTTATTTACTGCTTAGTTAGCTTATAAGAAGAGCAAGGAAATATATTCCTTAAGAATACCGGTCTTTGAAGTTTTTCGATGAGTTTTGATAAAGAAAGTTTGAAGAAGAGTAAAAGGAATATTTCACTTTTGAAGTCTTGAAAAATTAGTTTTTTGCTCATTGCCTATTTTTCTTCTGTATGACTAACAACGATGAAAGGTTTTGTTTCAAAAGCAAGCGAGTTGTGTTACTTTGACTTTAAAATTAACGTGGAGGTTCACTGCATTTTGGAAGTCTTGGTTTGAAATGTTCATTGTAAACTTCATACTTAGTGATTATTGATTATTTAGCACATGACATCCGATTATATTCCGTGATATGATGGCCAATGCAGATAGGGTATTTCTCACTTCAGATTCAGCTGAGTTGGTTAAACCGGGGTGAAAAAATGCAGACCGAATGAAGAGTCTTCCCTTTGAATAATTATTATTATTTCTCCGTTGGGTTCCTAGTAGAACACACGGCTTCAGTAGCACGTCTCCATTACACTCTCTTCTCTGCAATCTTTTAAACCTGGCTCCACAACAGCCCACGAGCTA